CAAGTGGACAAAAGAGCAAGTAAATTTGGGGGTAAGGAAGCAAATGAGAGAGTAAAGTGGATGAATGGCAGAGACAGTGAACCCCTGAAAGGGAGAGAAAGTGTAGGTAGATAAACAAGGCAGCAGGGGATGGGGAGAGGGAGCGAGTGTGAGCTGAGGAGGGTGAGAACCCCACTCAGCCTATCCTTCAACTCACATACTGATTGTCCTCGATCTCCTGCAGAGCCTTGATCTCCCGCAGGGCCTGGTTGGGGATGCCATCCTCCAGCCGCCTCAGGGCCACCTTCTTGAGGGCAACTATCTCCCCGGTCTGTGCAGGAAAGAATGCAGACACTCCCATCCCACCCCCATCGGGAAAGAGAGTAAGAGAGAAAGGAGCCATCTGGGCACTCCTCGTGAGGATGAAAAGAGGTTCCACCAGTGCAATTTGGCAGCGAGGAGGGAAATCAAGTCTAGGAACAGCTTCTGAGCCAGCAAACCTACAGCTGGAACATCATGCAGAGGTCCTTAAGGGGACATGCACGGCATGCCCACTGTCCCCATCCATAGTTTGTGAGGAAGGAAGCTGGCAGCAACCTGGTGTCCACCACTGAAGCAAAATGTGGTGGCTACACACCATGCAGCTGTGTGGGGAGAGGTGCAAACGTTCGTCCAGAAACCAGGGTAGATCTTACAAATAAGATACTGAGTAAAAAAAGTACGAAAATGAACCAGCTCAGAATGGAAGGTCAACCAACAAAACCAACTCATTGCTGTCAAGTCGATTTCGACTCTAGCGACCCTACAAGACAGAGAACAGCTCTTAAGGCTCTGCCCGCCCACGGTCCCCCGCCCCCCCACCCCCGGGTCCAAAGCGGCCACAGGCCCCTGGTCTCACCTCCACGTGTTTGGCTTTGAAGACAATGCCGTGGGCACCCTCCCCTATGCGACCCAGGATGCAGTACTGGTCCATCGGAGACCGGGCGGCGCTGACCGGATCAGGAGACCACCTTGTGAGGACCCGGCGCCTTCACTGCTGTGGGCCAGGGCGGCCCTTCCCCGCCTCCCCCACTCCAGGGCCAGGCACCACTCCTTCAGGCTTGCGAA